CAAGCCCGATGCCTCGATGCAAATGATGTGGCCGAGCGCGTTCGTATTGTTCTCGCAAATGCATGTATCGGGATGGATATTCAGAGATGTTTTGCAAGTAGATGAGATGCTGACGACGGTCTTCGAAGAATTCAATGTGGTTGTAAAAGGGTTCTTTGGTTTCGAGACGATGGAGAAGTTCCTATATTAAAATCCCCCTCGCTGTTAGGCAACAGTGCGTGCGCGGGAGCAGCGTGAGGACATACCAAATTCTCGCGATTGATCCGTTCAATCTCCCGTTGCCGTTTCCCAATGTTTGTATGACATTCACCTGGGCGGCGAGGCGAAGCGTGTATTGCTGGATCATGTGCTTCCGCCTTTCACAAGGCAAGGCTGAATTAACTGGTGAAGGTATTGACAGCACCAAACGAGGGGCGCACCTTCATGATGTATATCATTTTCTGCATCAAGATGCGATTGTCGCGTTCAATCTGGCCCTGTCGGTCTTCTCCCGCAGGTACGGGACAATCAGAACAAACGAACAAAGTGTATTCACGCAAAAATGGTGCATGGGGAGTCATATGACCTTACCTTCCTCCATTTGGAGTTTCTTCAACTTGAGCTGTAGATGCGGATAGAATTTTGGCGGTCCGTTGTCCACCGTAGGCTTTATATTCGCCAGTTTTTCAAGATGCTTTTCCCGATTGACCATGTACCACTTGTGCGCTAGGAGCTTATTGCACACTGGATACATTGGATGAAAGTGTCGGTAGGGGAACGGGTCGTCGCGGGCCCTGTGAGGTTGCCATCCCCCGTCGCCGAGCTCTTGTTTGTTATCAGGAGGGGAGGCGGGCATCCGCTTCTGAAGAGCTTCGGCTGCTGCGACAGTTTGGGCGTCTGCTGGGTCGAGGTTGGCAAAATCGTCTGCATATTGATCGTGTGACGGAGCATCCTGTTCCTCTGCCTGGTTGTTCTCTTCTCTCTCAATTCCCGTGGAAACGTCGTTGGAGGTGGCACTCATCGTGTCGAGGGGCTCATGATTCGGCGCCGGTAACGGGTCCATCACCATCGTTTCCATCTTATGGGAACCTTCTGGGGGTTTGATTTGATGAACGGAGTGATTTTATTTCCAAGCTGGCACCCCAAAACGCGTAGGAAACTTTGGTGACATAATCAATGGAATCGGGACGTGGTATCCATATTCTTGGAATACTCGAACTTGTGTGGCTGCTCTATATTGTACAAAATGCTATATGGCTAGAATAACTACAAACTACGGCAACATGCCCTTGAGCTCTCCTTGTTGAACCATCTCCTTCACGATGTCCAGACCGCCCACGAGCTCCCCGTTGATGTAAAGTTGAGGATATGTTGGCCACGAGGAATATTCCTGCCACCACCTTCGTCAGCCATCGTCTGCATGCAAGCTGTTGGGACTTCCGCACACACACCTTGAGGCCCTGCCTAACTTCATCGTCTTCAAGAATGTCGAAGCTGAGAAAAATGGATGGACCCATCAGCTGCCAAACTCAGAGGAGGCCGCTCAATCAATCCGATGCGCACCTGTCAAACGTTACTCCCTCGTCCTTCAAAATGTTAACAATCTGTCGCGAAAAGCCGCACTTTGGCGTTTCGGGAGAACCCTTAATGAAGACCTGTCGGGAAAAGGTTACACACGCGGAAACGACGCAAAAAAAAGTGTTCCGATGTCTCACCATAACGGGTGCTTTATTGATGCTGGAGTGTCAAGGCGTGATTGTTAGAGTCGTGTAAAATTTTTCCTTGCAGAAGAAGGCTACGATTTGGAACATACAGTTTCTTCAGCCTGGTGTTAAGGTCCGGTTCTGCTGGCACCAGTTTCTGGAACTCGCCCGATTCAACCTTTGCGGAATCTCAATGAGATACTCGAAAAGCGCCTTGCTGCGACACGGACTGGACTAAGATCTCGTACCATTTCTTTCAGGATATCAAGCCCACCGACTAGCTCCCCGTTGATATAGACTGGGCAGGGCATCACGGGATCAGATCCGGCTTCTTACACCCCGCACTCGCGCTAAGCCATACTCACTCTGAGGATACGTAGGCCAGTTGCTCAATTTCTTCAAACCTGTAATGTTCAGCGTTAGGAGAGCGCTAAACCCAAATTCATGTTTGAGTGACGGCACACAAGTTACCTTGACGGACGTTGTCGTCTGCCAAAATGTTGAACGACCCATACTTGACATTAAGACTGTTCAAAATCTCGACAGTCTGACGCGAAAAACCGCAGCGTGGCTGCTGCGGTGTGCCCTTCATAAACAACATCACAGCGTGGGCGTTCATCAACGCCTTCAACCGCTTTTCCAAATCCGCTTCTTTATGGACAGGGTCAACTGCCGTGGCGCCTGTCGGCACAACAGCGGCAGTCTTTCCATGCTTCTCGACAGCTGAAGTAAGTGCAGGGGCGTTTGCACCCTCGATCCTCTCCATCAACTTCCCCCCCTGCGGTAAGCCGAGACCGTAACCAGATCATTACAGACCGCCACGATTCCAACGGATCCCTCAATAATGGAAACTGCAGTACCTTCAAAATCAAAAAGGTTGGAACGGAAGTGATCTCGAATTTTTCTGAGATATCCGGGAAGTTTTCAGCCTCAAGCTGGCAGCAGGGATTCATCAGACCAGTCCTTCGAAGAAAACAATTCACCCATGCCTTCCCCACCTTGACGAACTGGAGGGCCGGAAATTTCCTTGAAAGCTCCTCAAAAACCTCGTTCATGTCTTTGCACGGCTCAGCCCAAGTGGCCCAGAAGTTGACGACGGCGACGGGCCTGTCTGCCACCAGCGCGGTGAAGTGCTCGTCGGAGGACACCTCTGGTGGAAAGGAGAAGTCGTTTAAAAGGCAGCTAGCACGAGCACAATTTATGAAGGTGGCCCCACCGTTCACATTGTGTTTGGACATTTTTGTGGTGTGTTTTTGAGTTGGAGGAATTGCGAGGAACTTGAGCTGGGATGCCTGTTTACTTACCAATCCCCAAATGAGGGCACGTGACCGTCGGACACAAGCCACTATGTAGAAGCCACCTCCATATAAATTTGCCCGCAGTTTCCTTGATGCTTGCCAGACGCAGCTGCCAGCAATGACCGAACAACAACAACCCGATGCGACACCCCCCGCCGCCCCTGCCCAAGAGCAGAGGAAGAAGCGTCGGCCAGCACGCCTCTATTGCTGCAGCTGGCCTGGGTGTGGCAAGGAATTTACCAGACACTACAACCTCAAGGTACGGTTTGTGCTCCTATGAACTGCACTTGCTGCGCTTGGAACCCCCACCCACCCAATCTTCTCTATTTGTTTTCTTCACTTCAACAGTCTCACATGCAGGTAAGTTGATAGAGGAGCAGATGCTCTGACTATGCTAGAACACGGTTAAAACGAGAAATGCCCCCTGTAAGAACGGGAAAGCGCGCAAGAGCCAGACCCCTAACGCTTTGGTTCTCGGCTTGCCAGACTCACGAACCTAACCGAGAGCGTCCCTACCGATGCGACGAATGCCAACGAGCATTCACCCGATCTCACGATCTCTATCGACACAATATCCGTATCCATACAGCCACTTTCAAATCAACAGAGAATGACCCCACGCCCTCAGCCTACGCTCCTGGTGGGCTGCTGCCCACATTGCTGAGAACAGAATCGGCACCCTCTGACTTCCTACAACCAAAGCTCGATGACAATTCGGAAAACGGTCATTATTCAGCTACAAATTGGGAGCCCATGGCCATTCTCGCAAGCGTCGCGATTGACGGGGGGCATGGGTTGCCAGTAAGGTCGCGCTCAAACTTGGAGAGCGCGAAAGATTGGCTCACGTTTCAAACCGCAAGTGACGGAGAGGAAATATTACAAACGCAGAATATCGCTGGGGAACCGATGATCAGCTTAGAGTCTTTGGATGATGGGGTGGGGAAGAGTGGGTTGGTAGAAGCAGGGCCGACCAGCTGATATTCCGCGCCCAGGAAATTGATTTTGGTGCTCGTACCAGAAGCTGCGCTGGGCGGTGACACATGTATATATATCCATAGAGTCAAGTCACGGTTGTTCGCGTAAGAACTCTCATCGTGTTAAGGGCCGTCGTTTCTTCAGCAGCGTCCTTCCTGTGCAGATTGCCCAATATCTCGTTCTTTGTTCATGTACGTTAGGAGGACATCCGCCGCCCGATTCCTTCGGCGCCGTAACCGGCACAGCCCATTTCTACAGGAAGCTTCTGGCACCTCAGCATACCAGAATTTCTGGTGCAAGATTGTCAGATTCCATTGGAAGCCCACGGTCAAGTACCTACTTCCGCACCCGCGCAAAGATCACTTTCCAAATGTTCTCATTTTGAGCCCGACTAATCGGTTCATTCACTCTTAAAGATACTCTGCGAGCTGGCGACTTGCGGGCTCCCTTACGCGCAACTGGTGAGTTCAATGATAAGTTGCGCACGTAAACTTCTCCCGCGCAACCACATGATGAATAAACGACACTTAAGAAGATTCCCATGCTCAAACAGACAAGTGACCACCCTTTGAGTCCACGGAACAAAGGGCATGCCCCAGATGACGGTCGCTGGCCGCTCGGACGATTTCCTCTTGATCTTCTTGGAGCTTGTTGCATCCACGTACCTCATTTGCGCTTGCCGTTCGACTTCACGCAAAATAGACAATGTTTCCGAACGTGGTAGCTGCAGATGGATGGTCAACCAACCAACCACAAACCTTCCTGTAAACCTTGTTTCCGGATGCTGCGGATGCTGCATCCTGCGTCGAAACAGCAGGGCGACGCGCTCGGGAGCCACCGGTCCTTCGTCGCGCTTTTCCGACGATAACAGACACACGACGCGCCCCAATACATCCGCACCTTCTTCCGACCTCAGAGACATGGAATGGACCGCCTTTTCCATCGGATTTTGCCTGAAAACCGCTGGGTATCCGGAGGAAGTGCGTCTCGATACATAAACAATCATCGGACCGGCCGTATCCATATACCAAAAAAGGAAAGAAACGGGGGTCTAGCTCAAATGGTAGAGCGCTCGCTTAGCAGTCTCATTTGTTGCGCTGTCGCAACTGAGCCTAATATGCGAGAGGCACGGGGATCGATACCCCGGACCTCCAATGCATTCGTGTGATGGCCTGTGGCCGTTGGCGTCGTGTTACCATTTTTTGTTCGGGTTTGTTTTGGGGCGAGAGAGATCAGTGAAGAGATTCGAGGAAGAGATATCGTTGGTAGTGAGGCAATAACGGGTTTGGCACGACTGTGAGCGGGGTCTGTCATTTTGCCCAGATGCGACTACAGGCGGTCTGTTTCGTGTTGACATGCGCGCTTCAGACAGTGCAGCATCGAGGTGCGCAGCCGGCACGTGACCTGCCAGGGTCCAATCTTCAAGTGCGCGCCAATTCAAAGATTTTTGGGATCACCATCGAACAAAAATGACGACTAGCGCTATGCAAAGAGGTGGGAGAAGGCAACAGATAATAGACAGCGGCTATATGTTGCTTATTAATACGTCACAGGATCGAGTTTGGCGGATGCTCTCAAGAAGGAGTTTGCATCACCCAAGGCCGACCTGAAGAAATGCGGCGAGTACTTAGCGCAGCTGAAGGTAGGACGGCCACAGACGCTGGGATAATTAAGACCACCGTGACAGCAACACTGTTCACACATATGGGCGCTCCTCTAGATTCTTTTAACAGAGCTGTCCTTTTTGCTCCCTGGCGAGCAGCCTCCTCGTCCAGAAGAGCTTATCCTGGCTCGTTAGTATTACCTTTCCGTCAGTCATCCGACGGCGCTCAATTCTAATGAATGTTACTACTAGGTGAGGTGTTGGAGATTGGGGCCTTGTGGAGTATTCGGACGGAGAATATTCCTTCCTTTGAGCGGTATATGTCCCAATGGAAAACATACTACAACGATTACAGGTGATTGGACCTGACTTCATGCAAACGGTGAATGGACGTAGCCTCGCTGATATATGCAATTTCAGGGATCTTCCCGTCTCGCAACGAACACATACACTTGTTGGGCTGAACCTTCTCCGCCTCCTGGCTCAGAATCGTATCTCAGAATTCCATACCGAACTGGAGCTTATTGAGCCGGACCAACATTCAAATATTTTCATCTCACACCCTATCAAGATCGAACAATATCTGATGGAGGGATCATACAACAAAGTTTGGAATTTGAGGGGGAACGCGCCAGCTCAAGAGTACCTGTTCTTCATCAATATTTTGATGCAGACGATCAGGTGCCCCTAAATCGTTGCAATGTTTGTTGAGACACTATCATTGACCGATCCTGGACTTGACTTCAGGGATGAAATAGCCAGCTGCAGCGAGAAGGCGTACACTAGTCTACCACTGGCGGATGCGGCTACATTGCTTTACTTCAAAAGTCCTGAGGAAGTGTTTGCATTTGCTCAAGAGGTGAGGTCTGCCGCGCGGTTGAGGAACTTCCGTGACTTTTAAACCGCGGGCTTATGACTCTCCCGCGACTTCCGTTCCTTTTTCAGCGAGGATGGAATGTGAATCCACAAGAACGTAAGGTGTACTTTGGGGAGACGGATGCCGACAACACGGAAATACCCGCGGGGAAAATGATTCAGCAGGTGTTGGGATACGCAAAGGAGTTGGAACGGATTGTTTGAAGTGTACAACAGTTTGAATTCGAAAGCACTAGCGCAACATCATTTTGCGGCAGTTCATTATAAACTAATCATGCATTGGGTAAGAGCAAGGATGACACTCCGCCAGATGCAACGGATGGAGACGTCGGCGGCCTTAGTTGGGCAGTAGATTTCCCAAACGCGGTGCGCAAAGCCCCTAGCGTCACTTTTTGGTTGGGTATTGGATCCGCGTGCTCATTATGCTTGTCCAAGAGCTCCTGCACAATCTTACTCGGTTTGTGCGTTGGCGACCTTGCAACCGGGTTATTTCGGCAAAGGAACTGCGGTGACCGTTAATCAGCTCCAAATCTCTAAGCAGCACATTGCCCGGGAATGCGCGCACTACCAAATAATTTGCCTCAGATTTACCTGGGCGAGCCATAATATCGGATCTGTCATGTCCTCCTCGAGCTGTCCATCCTTCCTTTTGACCGTTCGCAGTAGTTTTTCGATACCAGGCAGCAAAGTCGGGAAAATATGCTCCTCCAGGTATTTTGCAGGCTCTGTCACGTCTCGGGCATCCTTCGAGAAAAACGGAAACATTGTGGTGGCCTGGTTACCCCCCATCGCTTCCTCAGTCATGTCCCCAATCAAACTCTCGGTCATGGACAAACTCCGATCACATCCCGGCCGCTCATCGTCTCCGTTATCACTTGCAACATCGTTCCCTGCCATCCCGCCACTTGCATCATTGCTAGTAGGCGACCAACTGGCTCCAGCTACCCGTGGGTGTTGAGAAGAAGATGTTGCCGCTGGCGCAGCATCTTCTTCACCAAACTCTTCGCCTTCTTCGTGGGTGCTGAATCCGTAGGATGTATGCGAAGATGGTATTCTGCCGCCTGGTCCGCCCCCCGGAAGAGAGTCCAGAGGCGGGGAAGAACGTCGAGCTGATTGTCCATACGGGCGTTTTTCTTGGCTTTGTGGGCGGGATGAGGGCTTGGACCTCGTTTCTGAATCTTCTGTTGAGGGAGACGATGTTATTAAAAATGCGGAGGGGTTGCCGGTAGAGAACAGTGGGGTATGCAGGCAGATTAAAACAAGCATACCAGCAATCATGTTCGTATAGTGGGCATCAAAGGACTTTCGCTCACAGAGAACGCGTGAATTGAGTTAGCTTAAGTAAGCGGGAACAGGGCAGCAGCATCCTCCCAACCACGCCAACATACTGAGCGACGGAACAGGTGAATCAATAAACGACATGGTAAGAGAGACAACCCTACTACATCTCATCTTTCACGAGAATCAGCAGTCTCGCATCGCCACCTAAACATTGTTCGTTGCCCTTGTACGTTTTCTTTGCAGGCCAAAGCATTGATATGGTGGGTATCCAAAACCGGTCAATTTGGGCATCTGGATTGTTGGATTCACCATTAATGCCAGGCGGGACTTGTCCATGAAACAAGTATACGAGTTTAATTCTCTCGAATCGCCAGCGGAAGGATTACGGTAGGGTTTAATCGCGTATTGTACACCACAAGACAAAAAAGTCGAACAAAAGTGAAGCGCGCGTGGTTTGCGTGAAGGTATCTAGGATCAATTTTCCACAATGACGAGCCGACGGACGAACGTAATGCTGTGCTTCTGGACTTTTACTATTATACGTTGTGGTATGTTGTCTGTCATGGTTGCGACTTTTGTGGATGCCGGTGCCTGGAAATCCGTTTTCAACTGTTGACTTTGTTTCAAAGTTTTGCAAAAGAAAGAAAGTTCACTCCAGAACAGACTTCATCCTTCTTTTCCATCATGAAAGAAACCCATCAGAATACAATTGGTGCGTGGTGCTATAAATACAAGAATCATAGGAAAGCCGGCTGGGTAGGGCTCATCCGACCCCTCGAAAAACAGCATCAACCTTCGTTCACATGGATAAAGACTTCATCTTTTTCAAGAACCTCTTACTCCAGCATTCGATACATAGACCTCCGTATAGTCAAAAAATCTTCTCATTCGGGGATCTGAAGGCAATTTCAGAGTATGCCACCAACACGTAAGTCTGCATGTGTTCTGTAAAGAATTTGTTGTGAACCTAGCCTTTGCAGTGCAAAATGTATCCAAACTTCTTCATAGATATTTTCGACATTACCTGATGTATAAGTACGTTTTCACCAAAAAGCTGAAACTGGAATTTACGGTGGAGAATGAGGACACGATACCGAAGACTGCTTCGGGTGATACGGCGGTTGCTGCGAGTACGGAGGGCGGTTCTGGACCAGAGGGCGCCGAAAAGGAGGGCGATGCGGTGAGTGGTTGCGACATCTCTTTTTCACTTGCGCATACTTCAATTTACATTCTGATTTACACGGTTGCAGAATGTAACGTTCGCGGAGCTGCCGCGGGTATCCGTCATTGGAGGTGTTGAAATGATGGCAGAGAAGGGCGGTACTGTCGTTTCGTCCCCAGAAGAGGGTAAAATTGCCGGGGGAATGGCTGGAGTGGTTCCGGTACAAGAGCCAAAGGAGACCGGGAAGGCAGAGCCAACAACGGAAAAAGTACCCGCAAGTCAAGCAAAGAAGGCACCACCCGAATCAGAGGATATGGGGCCTGCGGAGAAACCGGTGGAAGGTACCACCATTTTCTCCTCACATGCTTCCACCTGGACCTGGACACCTAAACATTTTTTTTTACAAAAGCACCACCAGAACTCCGCCTAACCAAGCAAGAAATCGCCGCGAACGAGCTGCGAGCGTTTGTAACGTCCACACTCTCCACCAAAATTGACGAACTGCGCACTGGATTGATGACCCGACTGTCGACGCAGGAAGAACAGGTCATGACCAGGTTGCGCAAACTTGAGGAGAAGGATGATGATAAGGCAAAGGGGAAAGATGTGAAAGGGAAGAAGGATAAGAAATAATAATCATGCAAAAGCGGGTTGTTTTGCTATTCACAGGGATCATGTTCACAACGTTTATTTTGAGCTCACACCACACCCCGTCATCCCTCCTAAGCTCCCCTTGAAGAAGGTTTTTGCATCATCTGCAATACCTTTTGAACAAGGCGTCAAACATCTGTTGCACTCCCGCTCCCTTCGCGGCCGAGGTCTCAAAATATCTACACCGCAGACATGACGCTTTCCATCACAGCAAAAGTCGGCGTCCCTTTGTTGGCATCGCAGCTAAATTTCATTTTACCTGCCATGAGTTGCCCTTCTTTGGTTGATACTGTTCTTGGTTCTAAATCAGTCTGGGATGACGCAGACCGGGGGCAATCAATCTTTCTGATCGTCCAACGTGCAACGCCGCAGAGAGTGCCCGAAATATACCCTACCTTGTTGGCTTTTAAAAAAACGACGCAGTCGTTTTGACAGTAGCTGAACGATTCTTGCCATTTTTCCAATGCTGAGAATGTTGACCGGTTGCTCACGTCGTACACCAGGATCGCCTACAAAACCCAAAGAGCTTACCGGTACTTGTGTAAGGGGCGGAAAGAGGAAATAGGCAGGAAGGATGGCAC